GCTCCAGCCCCTGCCCCAGCCTCGCTGCCCTGCTCTGGCCACGCTCCAGCCCCTCCATGGCCGCCTTGGGGTGAGGGGCCCAGCGCTGAGCACAGGACTCGAGGGGCGGCCTCACCAGTGCCCAGTACAGGACAAGTAAAAAGTCTCTCTCCATCTTTCCTATAAGCCCCCTTTAAGTACTGAAAGGCCGCAATAAGGTCTCCCCAGAGCCCTCTCTCCTCTGGGCTGAACAACCCCAACTCTCTCAGCCTTTCTTCACAGCAGTGGTGTTCCAGCCCTCGGGCCATTTTCGTGGCCTCCTCTGGACTTGCTCCAACAGGTCCATGTTAAAACAGATCCATAAAATAACTTACCCCGACCATCCCTTCATGCTGGTGCCAGCGCAACGGGAGGTGTGGTGGTGCACCTTCAGCACCGGCAGAGCCTGGCAGCCTCGTGCGGGAGCTGCGCTGCTTCAGCCAGCTGAGCTGAACTGAGTTGGAGCAGAGCTGAAGCAAAGCTGTGGGATGGGGATGGCCGTCGGGCCAAGGACTGTGTGCCATGCCAGCCTCATCACCTGGCCCTGGTGGGACTGCCAAGCGTTGGCTCGGGCCCCCAAGCTGGAGGGCAAGGGCTGAGCTGCCCTAGGCAGCCGTTCATCTGACTTTTGCGTAAAAATCTCCCCATGCTGCATTGGCCACGCTCTTTCAGAGACAGGCATGGGAGATTTCTCCGTGCCCTTTCCTTACCCATCCTCTGAGCTCCTGCACAGTTCCCCGAGCCTCTGCTGTCTCCCCAGGCCTCCTGTTCATAACACCTCCTGATGCTTTTTATTTTATCTTCTCCTAACCCACTTCTAATCATTGCCTTTTTATTTTGGTTCTCCTTTTGTCCCTTTCTCCCAGGACTTTACTTCCACTCCCCATGAAGGGCTACCTGGACCTTTGACGGTCCGGCCATGCACTTTCTGTGGCAATAACTCGTGCTGCTTTGTCTGTGGTTTGCCAGAGGCACGTTCGGTCCCCCCGGGGCCACCAGCACGAGGACTTTGGTGCACTGGGGGGGATCCGATTTAGCCTGTACAGCCATGCAGCTTCCCCCCGCAGCCACCAAACCCGACAGAAGAGTTTTGGCCCCGCTGTGCTGTATGAAAAGAGCCTGTGAAATCATATTTAAGGTCGTCTCTTGAAGGTGCCCTTCGGAAAAAGCTCCTGCTGATGATGTTCAGCTCGGGTTTGTAGTTAACACAATGGACCCGCCGTACAAAGCCGCGCGGGACCGCAGGCTGGAAAAGCCCTCTGAGGTCCCGGCTAATCCGTCCCCCCCGCCAGCCTGGGAGATTGTTCCCGACCGCTTGTTTTCTTTGCCCTGACCTACATAGTCAAAAAGAATCTTGTTGCACATTTTTGTTTTGTACCTTGAGGTCTCGGAGGAGCCAAATCCCCTTCTTAGCGGGGCGGGATGCGTTGTTAAACAGTGCTGGAGTCTCCAGGAAAACCATGGAGACGCAGGAACAACGAGCCCTCTATGGTCCTCGCTCGGCTGCGGGATGGTCCTTCTTCTCCGGGCTTCTGCAGTGGGCACCGGGACGCACGGACACGGGCGATGAAGACGTCCACGCGCTTGGCAGCCTGTCCTGCGAAAGAGTGGTCACAGCAGCCCTCCAAGGCAGAAGGCTGGGGGGGGTGGAATGGAGCTGCTCTTAATTAATCTGTTTTAGATGATGGAGATGAAGGCTTCATCTCATACGTCCTCAGTTGTACTTTCGTGGGTGGGCAGAGAGGCAAGTCCTTTCAGGGGTGATGAAGTCCTCATGTGGGAAAGACATGGGAGCTCCTGCTAGGTTTTTAAGGAAAATAAGGATGTGAAAGGTGGGGTGGAAGAGGGCATTTAGGAAACCTGGGCTGTAGTTTGCTCCTTCCTCACCTGGATCAGCTGGGAGTGGTGGGGCACTGAGGGGGTCGTTTGTAGAGGTGAAGGGCTTCAGGTGTGAATTTTGGGGGTCTGGAGCAGGGACTGTCACGGACGGCTGAATGAATCCGCTTTTTCCTTCCCCTGCTGCCAGGGGCTGGTGGTTTCTCTTACAAACGTCTGGAAACCACCTGGGACTCCCAGTCTCCTCTGGTAGCTGCGTTCACCCAAAATAAACCCTGGATGAGTTTATCTTAAGCTCCTGGATGGGTCCCATGCCCCCTCGAGGAGCTCTCGTCATTAGAGACGCTTACAAAGCACTTGGAAGATGCTGAGATGGAGCAAGCGTGATGAGAAATCCTTGTGGCATGGTTCAAACGATGCCGGGGGTTATTTGGGGACAGAAGAAGTTTGTGGTGACTTTGACCCCAAAAGTGCTCCCCTGCTGTAGCTGAGAGCATCAGGGTGCTGGGGTTCTTCGCCACCCACCTCTTTGGGGTGTCTCAGTCCTCATATCCCCTGTACTGCTAGTTCACCCCCAAAACAGAGATAACAGGAGTAGCAGGAGTCCACTATGGCTAAATTAATATAACCATTCATAAATTAACATTGACTATTAATAAATTAATAATTAAATAGGAGTAAGTGAATAATTAAATATTAGCAGCATAATACTAAATAAATTAATAAAGACTGCCAACCATTTTTTGCGGTTAACACCACCTGCCCAGGATCATTGCCAGCTTTCAGATAAAACACCTGCTCTCTCGCCAGCTTTTTAAAAACTTATATCTGTTTGTTTTTTCTTTCCGGCGGCTGCTTCAGCTCTTAGATCTGTTCATCCAGTGGGACTGGTCGACGTATTTGGCTGACTACGGGCAACCCACGTGCAAGTATCTTCGCGTGAACCCGACAACAGCCCTCATCCTGCTGGAAAAGTGAGTGCGGGTCCAGACACCCGGGACGGTTTTCAGCCCCATCTCGCTCCCGGCAAGCGCGTGTTTTAGCAGCTCATTCCATCACGTGCGGTGCCTGGACGGAGCAGCGTGGGGAGCAGGAGGCTCCTTGTGATCCAGTGAGCAAAGCCTTCACCCCTGGGTGGACAGTGGGAGCTCAAATAGAAAAATCCTATTTTATCCCACTAACCTGAATCCCAGGGTTTTTATCAAAATGCATTGACTGGGCTGAGGGTCTGTCTTTTTGCTTCACTCTTAAGCAGAGTTTTCCTTGTCTTACAACAGAATTCCACTTGTAAAGACGTGTCTCAAGCCCCCCAAAATCATTTCAAATTTGCTGGCCTGCAGGCTTGTCTAACTGCCCCAAGCCTGTCAGTGTTTAAGAGGCATTGGGCCAATGCCCTCAACCACGTGCTTTAACTTTTGGTCAGCCCTGAAGTGGTCGGGCAGTTGGACTACATGATCGGTGTAGGACCCTTCCAACTGAAAATATTCTGTCTTATCCTATCCTATCCTATCCTATTTATCCTAGCCTATCCTATGCTATCCTATCCTATCTCCCTTCTGTTGGATCCATGGAGAGAGGATCAATTGCTAAAAGCCCAGCTACGGGCCGGGGACAGTGTCTTGGGGTGGCTGTGTGCTCCAGGGCTTGCCCTTAGCAAGGACATGCTCTTTGATAAGGCTGAATCTGAGACTCTTTGGAGCCTGTAGTTCACAGGCTTTGCACAGCTTCAGCCCAAGCCCTGGAGCTGTGCCGAGGAGCTGCGCCGGGACACGCCGGTCGAGCGCTGCGTGGCCTCTGCGGGGCTTTGGGATCCCTCCTGACGCACAGCGAGGAGGCTTGTGCCAGTCCTACGAGCCAGCAGCAAGGAAGGAAAGCCCATGAGTTTGCTGCAGACCCAAAGAGGGGGATTTACTTCACTTGTAACCCCTCCAGCACATGGGAGAGAAGTGCCACCAGTCACCCACCCTGCCCGTGGTAGGAGGTGGCCCAGATGACCCTTTCTCTGGTAGACCTCCAGGCTCTCGCTGGGAGGATCAGCCCTACTCCTGCCCCTTTGCTGCCATCAGACCTCACAGCTGGTCTTCCAGCTGATCTGACAGAGAAGTAACCTGCCAAAAACGATAATTAATAATTTTCCAAGCAGCTCATGCCATGGGCACTCCACTGCTAAGTCTTGCATGGAGGAGCAGGCAGGATCAGCGAGTTTGCAGTTAGATTGGGTTAGGTCTACCATGAAATCAGACGCTTAGGAGGAGTCTGAGTTGGTTTTGGAGTTCCTCTCTTTCTCAGTTGCTTGCAGAGGAGGAGGTGACTTGTTTATAGTTGGGGCTACACTTTTAGAAGACCAATCTTGGTGTGTTGCTGAGTTTTGGAGTTACGTCTGTATTATCTGTGGTCCACGTAACTGCACCACCTCCTCTCCCGCCAATATGGTACACAGGGACTAAACTTAGGTAGTTGTTGTGTAAAGCACTTTTATACATTATAGCATTGTTTTTATATACATATTTCTATGTGCTGTGTAATATGTTGTGTTATTTGCAACATATTTGCAACCTGACATCCATGATGGAAAAGCGTGAGGTATATTGAGAGCTATCAATAAAATGGTAAAAATTGGAGAGCTTGGACATGAAACAGCTGGAGGAGCCAGGGAACTGGGAGCGGCAGTGAGCTGGGATCCGTGGCAGTCGCTGGGAAGGCAGTGGGACAGCAGGAGGGCGGCTCCATGCTCCTGGCCATATTCCCCAGGTAGTACTTGAGCGTACAGCATCCGTGCTCGGTGCTGGTATTAAAAAGCCCCAAACCCCAGCTGGGCTTGCCAGCCTTCTCCCCGAAAAGGGCCTCATTTGAAGGGCAATCTTCACTTGTCCGATTTGCTTTCCGGAGGCAGCCCCGGTGGAGTCACTGGCTTGGCACTTTCATCTCCTGCATCCTCGTGGCGTGGCATCGCCGGCATGGCATCGCCGGCATGGCATCGCCTGCATGCTCCGGCAGACTCTGCCCTGTCGCTGCTTGGGCTTCAAGCCCTTTGGGGAGTCTCCATGCATCATCCACCAGCTCCAGCTCCCCCAAGACTCTGCACTGACCTGGCCATAGCTTCAGGCACGCCTGCTCCCCCCGCGCTCCGAGCCCACCTCCCCAGCCCTCTCCATAGGCAGCCGAGCTTTGCCGACAAGGCGATGTGAAATTCTGATCCGCTGGTTCGTTTTGTAACTTGTTTTCATCATTATCTCTTTTCCTAATCACACATCTCTCATAGGATATCACGAGTGTAAGTATGCTGCTTGCTTGGGCTTTTACCCTCACCTTGCAGTGACTTTATTGTTTGATTTAAATGGAGCACTAAATGATCTAAATGCAAGCTGTCTTTGAAACAGTTCCCTCTGGTAACTTTATCGTCTCAAATGCACTAATTAGAGCTAAAAGAGGAGCTTTTACTCTGTTGCTTTTTTCCTTATAGATTAATTTAAACAAAGCTTGGCTCTATTGAAGGTGGTGTTTGTTGACAGGGGTGGGGACAGCACTAAGCTCTCTCTTT